AGATTTTGGGGTTATAGGGCCAGGGTTTCTTAATCAGGTTCCTACATTCTACCGGCCATCGTAGTCATAAAAAATGCTTTGTCTCCTAAGGTACCTGCGGTCGCTGAAAGCCTTATTCATAATCGAAGGACAACGAAGGAAGGGCCGGAGGGGTTTGGGCGAGTTTAGAGTTTCGAGCGTTTACCGTTTCCCAGCAAGCTTCAAACTGAAGGCTTGAGGCTTGGCCTTTCACGTCTTGGGATCAGTATGCTTTCTTGTCTCATCTTGTCCACTGTGTACAACAAAGTAGGCTAGGTCGATCTCTGAGTTGCCCTGAGCTGAGCTAGGAACCCTTGTAGTAGGGTTTATAATCCCCGGACAGAAACCCAGGGACCCAAAAGCATCCTAAGCGCTGGGCAAATCTGACAGTTTAAGCCCCAAAACCCCGCATGCCAAGCGGGTGTCGTCCCCGGTGCACCGGGAAGTGGCATTGTGAAGCCTGGCGGTGCCTCCAGGAACGACGTCGGTAGGAGTATGATGCAGGTCTCGACATTTCAAGTCGGTCTGGTAGAGCCGTATATTACTACTTAGAGTCTTCGTTTTTGTCCAGTATGCAGAGTTTATGCAAGGCCAGGCCAGCACTTGAACACTACAGGCTGTTCTGCAAAGCTTGGTGGAGTTGAAATCCTGCGTTTCCTCAAGATCTTGGGTCGGCTTCCGTCGGCTCTCTCGGAGGGGCCCCTCCCCAACCCCTAGCCGACCCAGAACCTTCGTTGTGCTGTGTGCTTTGGGTGAGGGACACTGGCCAAGCAGTTCCTGGCGATGGAGCTTTTCACTGAGCCTTTTGGCTGCAGATGAACCCATCATCCCTGAACCCGAAAAGCACCCGACACCCTCACGAGAGCCCCACATTGCCGGGAAGTGCTGCGACCGTCTGCATGGCCTCGCCTGCAGAGGGATCCATCCAGACTTTGTTCCGGGGTCTTGGGTTTCGACACGTTAACATTTGGGACATTGAACTGGTGGCTCTAGTCTTTCACAGCTTCAACCAAGAACCCCAGGAAAACAACGAAAGCGTTGCTTAGCATTTGCCTGGTCTCGGAACGCCGCAACAAGCACGAGCTGCCGAAAAGAAGAGTCTCAAGCATAAATAGTACGGTCGTTAGCATAAGGACCGCCAAATCTGCCATCTCGAAACTGAGGAGACATCGAGACGGTTTAGGGTTCAGGGTTCAGGCTCAATCCCCCAAACCCCAGACCCCTAAGCACTCTGAACACTGCAAACCCTTAACCCCGAACCCGGCAAAAACCCTAAACCCTGCAAACCCTAACAAACCACAAACCCAACATACCAAGGCCTCCTGGGGGGATGCCTGGCCTTAGCAGCCCCGCCTGGACATGCAACAGGCAACGGGCGTTGTCTGAGTCGGCTTAAGAATTCCTTAACCGGGTTCTTTATCACGGGTTATTTAAAGGTGTCTTTAAGGGCTCTACGAGTATTATGAGTTTGTGAATGTGGTTTGGTTTTTGGGCTTAGGGCTGAAAGCCACTAGTAGGACCCGAAGACTACAGCATCCTATTCCCAAGACCCAAAACCCTCGAACGCGGGCTCTTGAATGAGTTTGGAGTCACCCGGGTCGTTTGGCAACTCCCAATTTCATAAAGCCGCATAGCTCCAGAGGCCTGGCACCCTCGCACCTATTCGCTCTGAAGCCCTACCTAATCTGGCCCCGCTTCGGACCTGATGCCTGCTAAACCCTAAACCCGAAGCCCGCTGGCCAAACCCTTTCCATTTCAATCACAGGCCGTGTTTTGCAAGGACTGGCGCCCTGGTTTTGTGCTTTACCGGTTAGGGTTGGAGAGCTTCGGGCTTTTATGACGTGGGGCTTTCGTGATAGGAAACCCTGCACCAAACCCGAAACCCGAAACCCGACTTATTCTTCAGGCTTTGGGAGCTTCTCTGCAACCCTTCGACGCATCGCTCAGTCTAAGCCGGAGTCTCCACAATGAGCAATGCTACTGCACCCGACCTATCATCAACCATTCTAGAACATGCCACCGAAAAATGGTCCCGAATCCAAAAACAAATTCTTCTGGTCATAGTTTCCCCGGCCTGTATGTGTGTGTGTGTGTGTGATAAAGTCCGTTGTGAACACTCCCCAAAAAATGGTTTTCGACGCTCCTCCTCTGACAACGGGAGGTGCAGACATTGAGCCTCAACCCTGCAAGTAAGCCTGAACCAAACCCTGAAGATTAAGCCCCAAAGCGTAAACCCTAAAACCCTCAACCCTCTCAACTCCAAAGCTCTTAGCCCTAGACCTAAACCACCCTCTCCATTTTCAATCCTCTACGCCTTAACCCCTTTCGGCCTCCACGCGCTCCGGCCACTCATCCCAAGGGGCCCAAAATCTATCCGCAGCAAGCTGAAGCCGGCGGGGTCGGTTTAGGGCGTATAAGGTGTAGGCTTAGGGTGTTTTGGGTGGTTCGGCGTTTAGGGTTGCAAAGGTTTCGGGTTTTTGGGGTTTGGGATTAGGCTTCAGGGCCTTGGGGGTGACAGGGCTTAGGGTCTTGGGGATTGGCTGAGCCGCGGCTTTGGGGGTTTGGGGCTGTAGGGCTTTGCGGTTGTCGGGGAGTCGGGGCTGTTTCACCTCAAAACTCACCCTCGGCTTGGTTCAGATGGGTGTCATGAAGTATCTTACGAGCCTCGAAAAGGTCTTGTAGGATCTAGGTACACTTGTTTCGGAGGGTTTAGTGTTCCAACAGCAAACCCTAAAACTCTGAACTCACCTCGAGCTTGATTGAAATTCGAGCCGTCCGTAGGTCCCGGAGCTCCTTTAGTCTCTTGACCGGATGCCGAAAGCCATTAAGTTGTTGGGGTTTCGGCTTCAATTTCAGGTTTGAGAGTTTAGGGGGTGCGGTGTAGGATTTGTGAAGCTTCGGGCTCAATTTGTGGGGTTTAGGCTGTAGGGCCTGTAGGGTTTGGGGAGTAGGGTGGGCACCGATTCACAGAGGCCCCCGCTGGGGCATGAAGATCTTCGCACTAGACTCGCCACTAGACTCGGCCCTATCATCAGTCTGCCAGAAAACCGGACGGCTAGCAAAGCCCTCAACGAGAATCCGAAACCGGAATCCGACTTTCCTGCACCAGAAACCACAAGCCGACGGCGAGGTTCAGCCTTTTCTTCTGCGAGGTAGGCTTGGGTACTGTACCCTAACTCTGAAGCCTAGTGGGACGGCATGGCGGTGAAAATGATTGGGCACACTGGCCCAAGGAGATTCGAATCTGAGGAGATAAAGGTTCAGGGCTTAGGGTTTAGTTTAAGAACTATCCGTATCCCAGCCTTTCAGGCACATGCCAAATCCCTCATGGGTAGTCGTATGCAGGACTGCGGTCACGGGGTTGAGAAGACAGATCTTTAAGCAGCTTGGTAAAGTTTGATGCTGCGGATCCTAAATCCGATTGTGGACCCGCATGGGCACGTCTCTCCTGGCGCTGCTCTTCAGCGTGGACGGTTGCGGCCGGAACTGGCGGCGTAGACTTGCTGCATTCGCATCTCGGTTTCCTGGGTACATGTTCTTGCAAATCATCCCGTAAAGAAACTGCCGCGAAACTTGAACAAGCCATGCATCTCAACTCTGTTCCACGTTGCCAAGTAGCCTAAAACCCGCGACCTTCAACACAAACCTCTCAAGGACCTCAATTTGGGGTCCTTATAATAGGGATCCTACTATTTAGGGTACTATATTAGGGTCCCCTATTGACCTAAAGTCTAAACCCAAGCCCTAGGCCCTCTTTACGCCCTGGAACCAATCTCCCGAAGACCAGGAGAGCCCCCAATGGCCAACTCGGAGCATGATCACCGGCACCCGAAACTATAGCAGACTTATTATAAGGAACCGCAGGGAGCAGTACTGCTGATTTTCAGACCCCTTAATTCTTCGAGAACTACGGAATATCTTGCATCCTGAAACCCCAGACCCTACGAGTACTACAACCGCTCTGAACCGCAAAAACACTGCAAGCCGACCTTCACAGAAACCCAGAACTGTTGAATAGCCCTTCGAAACCTTATTGAACCTACCCTACGAGAACACTCAGAGAGCCCTAAAGCATGCCTTATGGAATCCTTATAGAACCCTTGTGGAAAGAACTTGAAAGAACCCATCTAAGGACTCCCTTTGAACAATAGCAAGTCTGGGCTTTGCTTTGTCTGCCCTGGCACTGCATCCGCGGTCAGCTGGAGACTGCTTGGACGGATGAACGCGTAAGAATCGTGCATGTATGTATGTGTATATGTATATATGCATGCGCATGTGCACACACATGTATACATAAATACATACCTACCTACCTACCTACCTACCTACCTACCTACCTACGTACGTACGT